GGCTGCTATCAGCATCTGCAGTGATCATGGAGCCCAAGAAAGTAAAATCTGTCACTATCTTCCCTTTCTAGTGGCCATGATCTTGGGGATTTTTTTATATTGAGCTTCAGACCGTTTTTTGCACCCTCCTCTTTCGCCCTCATCAAGAGGTTCTTTAATTCCTCCACACTTTCTGCCATCAGAGTGGTATCATCTGCATATCTGAGGGTCTTGATATTTCTTCCGGCAGTCTTAACTCTGGCTTGGGATACCTCCAGTCCTGCCTTTTGCATGAAGTATTCTGCATATGAGTTAAATAAGCCGGGGGACAATATACAGCCTTGTCGTACTCCTTTCCCAATTTTGAATCAATCAGTTGTTCCATATCCAGTTCTAACTGTTGCTTCCTATCCCACGTATACGTTTCTCAGGAGATAGATAACGTGGTCAGGCACTCCCATTTCTTTAAGAACTTGGCATAGTTTGTTGTGGTCCACACAGTCAAAGGCTTTTGCGTAGTCAATGGAGCAGAAGTAGACGTTTTTCTGGAACTCTCTCACTTTCTCTATAATCCAGCGCATGTTAGCAATTTGGTCTCTAGTTCTTCTGCCATGTTGTAGTTATTACTAAACCATGTGGCCAAGTAATGCTGATGTTTCTTCCCTCCCTTTCAAACTGTGTTGTGCCTTTAATGTGCAAGAGGAGTTTAATCAATATAATAATGAGCATCTGTATCTATCTGTGAATGAATACTGTATGTGTATTCGTCTGTAAGTGGAAGGAATCCAGGAAGCAAGCTTGGAGAGATTCTCTTCCTCTTCCCCCCATCGCGCTTTCAAAAGTGATTGGGAAAATAAAGTGTGTCCCTCCCCCCCCCCAGTACATCAAGAGTCACATCACCAGCCTGGCAATTTTTCCTTGTCACCTTCTCACTTCAGCCCTCATCACTTCTAGACACAGGGTCAGTGCAAAGGTCTGCGGTTTCACAGATCTAAGACTCTTGCCCTGCTTGTTCTGCCAAACCCCGGCAAAACATGAGCCCTCTGGGTGCTGAGAAAAGGAAAAACCAAGAGGGAGGGGAAGAGCAGCAGGGGAAAAAGCACTTCCTACTACCTTGAAATGCTTCCAGAAAGAGGATTAATGGGACTCTGCTCAAAATCCCACATTCCAGCAGATTCACCCCCTCAATGAGAGTCCCAAATGTATTTGAGGTTTCCGAAGCCCACCCCCATCCCACTGCTGCAGCAAATTCACTTGTGTCTTGTGAATGATTTTAACTGGGAGGGAAACATGAGCTTGGCTTCAGGTCTTAATTTTGTTTTCTGAGCAGCAAAGCAATTTTTATAAACATTTTGGCTAGAATCCAGAACATTGTGCATGTACCAGAGTCCAGTTGTTTGTGATTGCAAACAGAACTCTCTATCTGCCTGTTTGTTTTTCTGTCCGTCTGTCTGAGTGGGAAAGGGGGTATTTTTTTCCCCACCACAGCAGGGAATGCAGAAATCCTGTCTGACCACGCAAGGCTGATACAGGGACAACTTTTGGCTCTAATCCTGGTCTCACATAACACTTTATACATTTCCCTGGTTCTAGTCAGATAGATAAGCTCCATGATGAGGCACAGTGTTACGATCATGATGCTTTGCAGCTCCAAGTCTATCTTTACTCTATGCAGAAGGATCAAAATTCCTCCTTCTTCTTTTTTTCTTTTTTGCTGCTTCCATTGCGTAGGTGTGCTGCATAGCAGATAGTAGGAGCTTGTATATGCACCATCACAATGCCATGGGAAATGTTTCTCCACATATTCTTTCTGTGTTGCTCCGGTAATGTATGGTAGTGCATGGATGAAGGCAACCTGATCAATAAGTCCGTAAAAATCACTATACTGGCATCCAACAGGTATTAATTGTCTGCACATCACTGGTCTGAATGGAGGGGGTGAAAAGGGGCAGTATTCCCAATCCAATATTCTAGGCTTGTGAAGGACACCTTTGTGTTGGTTTGGTTGACTGGAAGCCAGCCCTCAATTCCATAAACAAAGTAAAATATGAACCTGGAGCCTTTAATATAAGCCTGGGTCAAAGGTTGCTTTATTTAGATCATAGGTCATAGAAGCTTTGGAGATTTTTAATACTGCTTGGAGGAAAGTACATGGGAGTCTATTTCTTTTTAATTTGAATATATATGTTATCACAGAAGCAAGGGATGATTTTTTTTTACCTCAAAACGCTAGACTCTAAAAAATGTCATTATTACTCAGTTCAGATGGCATGCTCTGTATTTGTTTTATATGCTCAGACACGTTTAAATGTTCCACTTAAGGAATTTTTGTAAAAATGGTTTGCTGTCCATAAATTATACTATGACACAAGTTGTTTGGGTATATTATAATTTATAGATCATAAATCATTCTTGCCGAAGGGACAAAAGACAAGTCTAGAGAATTGATGGTCAGAAGACTGAGTAGGTTAAATTGCAGTATTATTTTTTAATCTACTTTTTAGATGCAAGTGACTGGGGGATTTGCTTCCAGTCTCTTACTTTAAAGGCTGGCCAGATAAACAAGCGAAGATAGAACAGGGACAGGCAAAGTTCTATTTTTTTAATGCAACACTGAAAATGTTAAGGATTCTGTTGTTCCTCCAGATGATTCACGCAGAACACTGGAGTGTTTTACTGGAGTGAAATATGAGAGGATGATAATGACGATAACAACAGCATTTAGAGATGGGCAGGTTTGGCAGTTTGTGACATTTGGTTTATCAGCCAAACCAGTGTTCATCACTTCAAAGCCCTGCTTCTTCACTAGCGCCCAGAGAAGGCAAGACAGACTGCGGGAGGAGGTGGGACTTTAAAGCACCAAACACCTGTTCAGCCAATAAACAAACTAAATAAACTGTGATTTAGCATCCTGATGACCCCTAGTTTGTGTTGAATGGGTGATGAGAGTCAAATCACAGGTATTGATCAGTGTGTGTAGGTTTTCTGTAGATTTCTATTCCTAAACTGCTGTCGGATCCTATGATGACTGCACAGTCCAGGAAAGCCTACAGGTTGTCTTTCATGTCTTCCCTGGTGAACTTGATATTTCACTGCATTTATGTGGTCTGTGAAGGCCTGTCCTTCCTAAATCTTGATCTTCACTTAGGTCTCATCCGCATACTTGAAACCAATGGGTAGGAGTTGTCCCCCGGAAGGTGTTTAAGCCAAGAAGTTTAGTGCCTTATTTTCCACTTCTTACATGTATAAGCTGGCAACAGTGGGTGACACCGAGGAACTCATTTTGGATCAAGAAGACAGGTTGTTTTGAAAAACCACACCAGAAAGACCATTGTTAACTACTGTTAGCGACCCATGACAATGAGTGGAGAAGGACTGCAGAAGTGGGATTTTCACTCATCCCCCCCCCCCCCGTCCTTTGTCAATCTAATGAGCCTCTTCAGACCAGGGGGAAGTGAAACCGACATGGAGGATATATCAGGAATCTCCTACCCCCTCTTCTCAGACTGAAGAAGCTACTTGGATGAGTAGCAAAATATTTCAACCTAGTAAGAGAGAAGTCCAGTTGCCATGATGGAACTTCCAGATAACCTCACCTGGATGACTGAGCATCTTTATAGATCTACTCACTGAACTGTCCATCCGGCAATGATATTGTTGTTCTTTCATGCTCACCAGGGCGTTTTAGAGCAGTGATCCCCAACCTTTTCTGAGTTGCGGACTGGTTGGTGGGGTGGGGTCTGTTTGTAGGGGTGGGGCGCGCATGAACAAAGAGGCGGGGCCTGCTCGTGGAGGGGGTTTTTCTAACTT